CGAGTCGGTGGAGACCGAGGAGCGCATGGTGCGGTGGCCGAGAGCGGTGCTCACCGGAGCCTCTCCTCGGAGGTGCGAGGTTGGAACTGCCGGAAGGTCAAGTCCGAAAGGTTTGCCAAGGCGACCAATGACCAAGGCAACCGCAACTACTGAAGGTGATATTCTGCAGTTTGTCTCACTTTCCTTGTGGGATTTTGTTTTGGTTATGTATTAGGATCCTAGGTGATGCCACTCCATGGCAGCCTGTAATAGTATAACAAGAGCCAAGAGCAATCATATATACATTAAACACAGTTGTATTAACTATATCAGGACACATTCTTGTAGCAATTGTAGATTTCCTGCTTTGATGTGTTTGATTTGGCTGTTGGTCGTGGTGTATTCTTGAACATCTCTTCCATGCACGAGCAGCAACTCCAGCACGAAGCGGGAAAAACACGACGGATCTGAGGTCTTTGCCGGCGAAGGTTGGGGGAATCGAGTCACACGGAATTCTAGCTCCAAAAGGTAAAAGAACATGGACACTTGATAGGCCATTTCAGAAGAAACAGCGGCCATGAGTTTTACTTTGGAAACTAGAAAGATTGAGAGCTTCCAAGTGGTTCGACGTTCTTTTTCTAGAATCGAACCTTTTCGAGTCGATATCATCGGGTCTTCAATTTCTTGGGTGCCAGCGAAGTTTGAATTTGCTTGTTTGATTTGATGCTTCCGTTTTGCGTATTGGTTTTGCAATGTGTTGTGTATATTTGATTATATTTGTGCTTTCAGCTTACTTTTAGTTTGAATCGGACTCTAAGTCAGCTTTTATAGACTGGCTGATTTGCAATGTCAATCAATGATTCGTCTCTCTCAAGCTCTTCTTTAGCTTTGGAACATGGACGTGGGGATGGCACAGAGTCTGGACGAGGTCGTGGCAGCTATCAGCAGGTTTCGAACATGCAGCTGGTTGGCAAGGGGCATCACTTGCATGATTTGTCGCAGCAGTCACTCACGTTAAGCTGACGAAGGTTCAAAACAGCTTCGCCCACGCCATCAGGTTTCCGTTTTTGACTTCATTATTTCGGCATCCCCTGCAAACAAAAGCTCTTGGACGGTTCAGCACCTAGTAACTGCAACTGCACAGGTTGCTTTGAAGGTCCAGCCCTCTCCCATCATCCCTGTTTTCCGATGGCTCAGTAGCAGCGCGACATAGGGGCTCTTGGTGTTGGACGCGTCCGTGAATTGACTCCACGGGGAAAGAGTGGAGGGGATCAAATTGGCAGAGATTGAGAATCCTTTAGTCTCGTACCAGATAATAAGGTTGCTTTGTCTCAGATGTTTCGTTGTAGTTATGTTTGAACTTGTTCTCTCCTGCATGGACATGAGACAAGAATGTCAGGATCACAATCAGTTCAGAAGTATGACCAGTCAGACAAACCACGGAAACTCTTGTTCCACCCTTTTTTTCTGGGTGCCGATTCTCCGTCCCCCCACGAAGGCGAGACGATGACATGGTCAAACACAGGTGAGAAAGCTCTGACCGGCCTTCTGACAACCCATAAGAAAACCCAGCAGTATGAGGTGTATAACAACTATTATATACATATTCAATATATCTACCTATATCAATTCCAGATCAATCATGGAAGACCCATCGTTTCAGGCAGTGTGAACATTTGAGGACGTTTCAAAGCTTCGATGGCAGGAATGGTAACTATGAGAAGGAAATGGTTGAAGTTGGCAAAAGTGTGGTGCCCCAAAGATGGCGATGGGAGAGTATGTTTGATGTTCCATGGTGTTCCATGGGGAAGAGGTTGATCAAGATTTTTGCAACTGCAGAACCTCTTCAGCTTCAGGTGTTTGTGATTCCTCCAGAAAAGCCGGATGGAGCCGCGACGCTGCCAAAGTGCAGTGCTACTCCCATCCGGCACTCCCATCCCCTTTGGCAGATACTCCCATCCCCGCAGAAAGAGATTCGTTGGACGATTTCTTCACCCTTGACGCTCCGAATTTATATAATACTGAAGCGCATCGCCGCATCGCTACTAGTAACAAGTGCCTTACTAGTAGTAACAAGAAGCTACTAGGGGCTCCTGGCCTACTATTAGGAGCACGAACGCTACGAACGGGGCTCCTGGCCTTACCACTGGTCCGTGTCCAACTTTTCGGGTGTGCTTGAAGGGGCCGAAACCGGAAGTCACACGCTGAAGGGTTTCGGCAGTGTCCGAGATTAGGACCCCTAGGGTCCTACACGAAGCAGAACGAAGCCATGCTCGAACTCCTTCAGGATAAGATGTGATTTATGAGGCAAGCATCAACAAAGGCTTCTAATTAACCTTGTCAAGAAGCGTCTCCAGTCACAAGGGCTCCAGCGGGATGTCTTTTTGGTTCGTTTGAGGCTGTAGTAACATGTACCTTGATGTACCTTATACCACAGTATGTCAGTGTACCTTTTTGTGTCCTGTTCTCAACCTCTTTTGAGAACGCACCAACCAAAGTTTCTCCGGCTCTGTTCGCAGGCTACAGGCGCGGAGAAATACAGAGACCTGACCGATCCAAATGGTTGAAGACGTGATCCGAGATTTCTCGGCTTTTGCAGCAGAGAGTTTAGACTTTAGGCGGTAGTACAGTCATTGTAGCAAAATAGGTCGATTGCAGCCCTTGTATTGGCGCCCCATTTTTTTTGGAATTTTTAGAGGTTGTTGCTACTTTTTAACGATGGACGGAGTGGAGGAGTTGAAGTGGACGCCATTGCAAGAAAGAGATCGCCAAAGGTACAAGGTTTACATACTGACAGGGTGGATGATGCGCCCCCTAGCCTCTTCCTTGAACTCAGCCTTTGCTGCAGTAGAGTAGCTCTTCAATTCATTTTTTGTAGGGTATCACACGGTATTTGGAAATCCCACCACCAAATCCACTCAGTCCTGGCCGCAGGCTGAGTATGGGAGGCATGGGAGGTCTTGCAATGATCTTCATCGTTGCCTTCTTCTTGTTCTTGGGCTGGGCCACCAACTGGATTCCGTGACTTGGACTCACTGGCGGCAAGACGCTTCGCCGCGGCGGTGAAGAAGACGACCAACGAGATGTCGCCCCAGGTCTTTAAAACCAACTTGACAACCCATTATACATATTAGGGTATATTAGGTCAGACCGCCCTTCAGATCACCCTCATTGGCCCTCTATGATCATCTATTATCCCTCTATATCTTTCCTCCCCTCATGAGCAAGGGTGTGTTTCCCAGGTTCGACACTCCCTTTGACTTTGGCCTGGCTGCCCTCTTCTTCTTCGGCTTTGTCCTGCTCGTGGGCACGCTGAGCAATTGGTGGCCGTCACCTGCCGATTTGGGACAGGGGTGGATGCTGGGACCCCTCTGACTGACTGACTGACTGACTTACTGACTGACTGACTGACCGACCGACTGACTGACTGACTGACTGGGATTGCCTGACTTGGATTTGCAACGAAAGGACCTGGAGTCAACTTCACAGACCAGGATTTGCCGAGATAGTCCCGCATCAAAACTTTGATTGATGGTGCTTTGGCTCTGGAGCGCATACCGCAGAGGTCGGACCTCCGGAAGTCACCCGGAAGTCGGTCCTTCGGGAGATGAATCCAATGATCGGACATCCTCAAGCTAAACCAGCATGTTCTTCTCGGGGTGATCTGGCACGTGTGTCCATCGCCCACACGAACACGCTCCATTGCACCGTTTGCCAGAACCCGAAGCATTTGAGGTTGCATGATCAGCTAGCTGCTAGCTGCCCAAGGTAGCCCAAAGGGGCGGCAGGTTTGCACCCAACATGCAGACCTTAACCCACCACCTTAACCCACCACCTGAGGCATGGTGTCGGGGTGTGCGGTGGCGCTTTCTGGGTCTTCGGGCTGTGCGTCTTCATCACCATGGGCAATCTGAACAACTGGTGGCAGTCACTCAGTGAGCAACGCATGCGCGAACTTGCAAACACCAGAGTGAGAGTGAGTGGCTGGGACGGAGAGTGCGTTCCCTCACATTTGATGGAGCGGATTCTCAGCCCTCTTTACATGAGACAGGTGGGAATGTTGATGTTCAGGTAGTGTGAGGCATGGTTACTCATCCCGAGCCCTTGTGGGACTTCTCTCCAAATAGTTGTGCTGTAGGTCAAGAACTTGGTCATAGTATGTCAGAGTCTTCTTCGGACGCTGTCTGCTCGCTCTCACCGTCTGCTTTTCAAAGCCTGGAGGCCCGCTGGTGCAGCGCCAATTGTGATCGGAGCATCACCCACGGTGGCCATGCAGGGGGGGTGCGGCGACTGCTGCTCATGCCTCTCGCCGGTTAGATACTGGCTTCGCCGGTCCGACTCGATCCAGTACTATGTTATACTATATTGTTATTGTATCATGCTGCGATCAGTTCCTGTATTCTGTGCCAAGGGAAACCTGGTCGATTATTATATATTGTGTTCATGGGGCCGAATGATGACCACAAACACGATGTTGCAGTGAGAAACTTGAGTGATCTCTCGCTTCCAAACATAGCCATCCTTTTCGCAGCCTTTGCAAGGAATGGATTTGCCCGAAAGGAAGGCACAAAATAGATAACGACCGGCCTTCGAGGATCTAAAAAAATGGTTCGGGTTTCCACGAAACAGCCTTTGTGGCGTCCGAAGCTCTTTACCGCACACCTTGGCAGCTGAGACCTGCGGTATGCTCACGGCCATGGCAGCCTCTTGGCATCGAGTGCGATGAACTCCCTTCGCCGAGTGTGCTGACCCCCTGTCGAGGGTGAAACCAAGGGGCGCCCGTCCATGTTGGTCTCTGCGGGAGTCAGGGGACCCCACCCGCCCCCAGCGATGCTTTGCGGTCTGGGGAAACATCGTGTAGCGTTGAAAGCTCTCGGATGCCTACTAATCCTACCGAATTCAAATCAGGTGAGTCTTGAATGCATGAACTTCATGATTACACTCCCTGAAGTAATATTGGAAGCGGAAAATCACCTGTTAGTAGTTAGATGTAGCTAGTGGTGGTCATCCAAGGGGACATTTTCCACTTCCATGATTATTCCAGGGAGTGTGAGTGTAAGGCCCAATGCTTTTGGTTCTAAGTGCTCTTTGGCCAACATACATCCACACACCACGTACCTCTATCCGATTGGTTCTCCACAATACTCAGGACACATAGGGTAGATGATGTTGTTTGCCTTCGGTCGGTGTGTACTGCACTGGTTCAAAAGAACAACGTTAGGTTTGGGGGGATTTGCAAGAGAGCGCGTCTGACCAGTGGTGACTTTGAGTGAGAGGGTGACGACGGTGACGAAGGTGACGACCAAAGCTGACTTTCGTCCTGTTCAGCCCATTTTAAAGATGTTCGCATCATGTTTTCCGAGACGTTGGCACAGAAGCAGCTTTGCTGCAGCCAGGCACAGCTGATGGGGGGGACGCTGTGGCTGCCGATCTCCTGGTCCTGGAGCCCCCCACTTTAATCACTGTTGGTGGAAGAGGTTCCAGTGGTGAGGTGTGTGGGGTTTGGGGTCTGGTTTTGGGGAACGATTGAGGATCGATTTTGTTAGACATTGCTTTTAGGGAATGGTGCAATATAGAGGTCTGCATGGTCTGCATCATACTAGTAGCACCATTCAGAATGAGCAGACCCGGATTGGCACGCACAATCCATATCCCAACAATACCTGATTTTCAGTTTGCTCGCACACTGACACTCCAGAGCCATAATCTACACTCGCGCCCAGCATCCGCCAGGGCTACACCACTTTCTGCCAAAGCTCTGCCCCAGCCGTGCAGACTGTTCACCATGTGCACTATGTTCATCATGCTGTGCCCGACGTGGTTCATTCCAGCGTCCCTTATGCCCCCGCTGGTGGTCTTGACCACGTTCACTGGCATTCCGGTGGCTTCCACTCTGCCATCGGATCCACCATTCCATCCATCCACACCGGCAGCTGGCACTCCATGGGATCGACTATTCCGTCCACCGTGCACACCGTGCACACCATGTCCAGCGCACCCAGCGGGGATTACGTGATCGATCCTGGCAATCTTGAAGACATTCCAATTCCGCAGACGTTGCACTGAGGAACTGACACTTGGCCAGCTTAGTTATATAGTTTGAGGACCGGATGCTGTTGCCCTTTACAAGTCAAGCATGAGTCAAACCACGCTACAAGAAAACTTGGGCCTTTTGCTCTGGAGGGGTTGAAGTCGACTTGTCGAATCTTTCGACCAATGAACTTCGTAGCTTGGCAGGAGAAATCGTGTGGGATCCCGAGGTTTTCTCCAAAGAATCGGTGCCGTCTGTTGCAGGTGTTCATTGGACGTTCATTGAAGTTTGCCTAGCTATCTTGGCCACCTGCCATGTAAGGACCTTGGTCGAAGAGAAACGAGGCCATGCGGTTTCTTGGATCCCGACTGTGCAGCCCGGCCACTCTATCATAATGAACACAGCAGCAACAAGGTATGTAACTAGCTCACTGGTTCGAGCGAGAAGATGGTATTGATATGTAATTTTTTATTGATGAGTTTCATTCGCAGCTGGTGAGACTTTGCAGATATAGTTCTCAATCAATGTTCAAGTTGGTCAAAGAGGACGCTTTCTACTTCTTCATGTTCCTTTCAGCTGTTCTTTTTCGAGTGAAAACGAGCGGAGGAGCGATGACATGCCCAGCTTCAATCAGTAGCATCACCCGGAAGAGCGATTTCCGGTGTGAGCCTACGTCCTTTTGCTGGCATCTTTTTTCGTGCTTCTTTGCGAACGGCTGTTGGCCGCCAGCAAAGCTGGTGATTCTGGAGCAGTTACAATGACAATTCAGAACACATCATCAAGATTCTAAGTTCAAGAGTATAGTTTACTCCAGAATTGTATTGGGAGAAATCTTCGAACTGTGAGCCGCGAAGGGCAACTCTTCATCTTCTGCAGCATCCTTGTTCATCCAGACGTCACCGTGCTTGTCCTTTGCGCCTTTGTGCCGTGAGCTCGCAGGTTGGTTTTTGCCGACAAAGCCGTAGAACTGAACCCTCGGCTCATCCAATGGATTGGCCGGTTCGGTGCCAGACGGCCCGCGTTGTATATAAACGAGCTTGGCGAAGGACCAATGCTCGCCTTGCCCTGAAGGATTCTTCCGGACTGAAGTGGTTCAATATCACCAGATGAGAAAATGTTGGTGTCCGGTTTTGACAGGGGGTTCTTTGACTTCCGGCCCACTGTTTTCCTGGCTCCTGGCACACGGTCCCCAAGGAAGGAGGGGTTGTTGGGTTGTGGCACATGCTTTTTGGGTTTCCAAGGAAGGACAAGATGTCGTCAAGAGGCATCTTCATCCAACCCTCCCTCAGTTCAATTGACCCTGACGACCTTGGGGAGGTCTAATTTTGGAGGCTCGACATGATGTGAGATTGACTCCAGGACTTGGCCGTCAGTGACACAATACCACCTTCCCAAATGATAGTAACATCTTTTAAGGCCCCATCATTAGACAAGAAGCTAGTAGTAACAAGTGCCACGCTAGTAGTAACAGGTGCCTTACTACTAGTAACAAAAAGCCATTAGAATTACAATAAAACTAAATTAAATTCAAATTAAAAGCTTTTTGTTACTACTAGTAAGGCACTTGTTACTAGAAGCGATGCACTTGTTACTAGTAGCTTCCCAAATGATAGTAAAATCGTTTAAGGCCCCATCATTAGACACCCAGACTCTTTTTGTCTGGGAAACATGAAACAGCCGTTTCGTTTGAATCGTGCTCGTTTGGCCCTTTGTCGGCCTAAACCCTTTCCTTGTAAGCAGCAAAGCTGTTTTGGTTGTCTCACAGGTCCACCTTTGCACCCAGATGGGGCCCAGGAGTTCCTCAAGAGGAAACATTTGCACATTTCGGCCAAGCGGCCAAGAGAGATTTGAAGAGAGATTTCCTAAGCAGACGACTTGTCCTGCTTCGAAATTCCAGGGTTTTCGAACGGTTCCATCTCGATCCATGAGTTTCTGGCCCACGCTATCCGAAACCTGTTTTCGCTGGACCAGTGTATATTCAGCTCCATCCACCTTCGTGGCCGGCCCCCGTTCACCGCGCGCGTGCTGTTCCCTCTTTGGATCCAATGGCCCGCCGGGGCCTTGGCGAACTTGGGCGAACGAAGTGGCACTGCAGCCCCATGGGTGGTCATGTTCTTTGACTTGTGGGCCCGGAGGATTATTTTGATGGATGTTGTGAACAAGCGGTTTTAAGCATTTTTAACCAAGGTGTTCTGAACAAGGGTGGTATTGCAGTATTGCGCATCCAAGAAGTATTTGGACTCATCACATCCCAAAGAACCAGAGGAAAGGAGACCAAGGAGACCAAAGACAGGCCAGGAGATTGGAGACTTGCCGCTTTTCGGGGGAGCTTCTGTGCCTCAGCTTCTCAGCCCCCTCGTCTCACCAAGGCCAAGGACATGTCAGCACTTGTCGCTTGGCGAAAGGACCAGCTGGAGGAAGACCGTGGAGTCTCAGCACTTTGTTGTGTGAACTGGATTGAGCTGGATGGGAAAGGAGGCCAACATGAACGGAATCCCTCCCGACTTGCCTTCTTCCTCTTGATCCAGCCTGACTTGGACGGTCAACTTGGACATGGACATCCATGGAGACATTCAATTGATGCTGACCCGTTCGTCAACTCACCCCAACCATGGTGACTGTTCAGTTTTGCTTTGGCTTCTTGGACCCCCTTTTTGGTCGGTTGTTTGCAAGATCGTTGGCAAACCTCCGGAGCTCCTGACAACCCGTGTTGGCAGTACCGTACCTAAGCCGACGTCGGCACAACGAGGCTGTGGGAAGTGGACCCTAGTTAGAATGATGGATAGATTTTGCCGTTTGGTGCATAGATTTTCACAGCCTCGTGCACCTGCTATGTTTGTGAGTGTTGCAGCTGGGGTGTCACCTTGGCGTCGGCAAGTACGGAACCTTACAGTAGCTCCTTCATGTTCCGTTTCCTCTTCCTCTTGCCTTTGGACTACCTTCAGGTGGTAGAGGAGCTCTACCACGTCCGGGGCTTGTTTCCTTTTCCTCTTCTCTTTGACTATATCTACCTACCATGTGCGAACTTCCACCGTCAGCTTTCCTGGAAATATATAATGAATTTGTCCTCTTCGGTGTGTGTGTGTGTGTACCCCTTGGATTCACAGGGTGCCTTTTGGCTTTCTGTTCCTTGTTTTTGATTAGCAGGGGGCACGGAGACTGATTTCCTATCCGTGCCAACGAAGCTACGCAAATCAGTTGGAAGAGAGTTGGGACGCCAACTCTTGTACCTGCATGTTGATTTGGTTGTGATGTTTGGTCACCACGACCACGCTCTACTCTACACGCCAGGCTGTTTGGGTACTGGAAGGTTTGCAGATGTGCACTCGCCGTTTTTTGTCGTTCGCTCTTTTGTTCGCTGAACCTTTGTGGGGCCCTGGTGCTTTTGAGACTTGATGCCTTTGAGACATGAAGCTCCATGGTGATTGGACATTGGACCGCTTTGCATATTACGTCTTTTTTTAACCAGGGCAGTTTTTTGATTTAGACCTTTGCGGGGTGGCGCAGCCAAATCGTTCGAACTTTTCCCGAGAGAGTGGGTGTGTGCACCTGGAATCACGGGTTGTCGTTAGCTGTTTTCTTGGCTTTCGCTTCAGCAATTGGGCAAGGCCTCCAGCGATGAGCCTTGTCCATTCGCGCGCCTGCTGTGTTTGTGAGTGCTGTAATGCAGCAACTTTCCACTCGTAGAGATCTTCAGGCTGTTGCAGCATGATTGCTTCAACACACGTGGCAGGCATAATTAAATGTTGGTGATTAAAAGGTCCATTGTGTGGACTCACCAGACCCACCCGTGCTCGTGGCGTCGCGAGCTTCCACTTCCAGCACCTTCCACCAAGCGAAACGCGGAGCGGATTGGCCTCAGGGTATGAAGTGGATCCCGATTCCGTGAAGATGGAGGAGCGCATGGCATCTTGGCGCAGAAAGCTGTGAAAAAATCCCGGTTGATCTTGAGAACAATCTTCATTTGGTGATCTGCCTTTTCATGTTTTTCCCGAAAGAATTGCGAAGGGTTCTTCCGGAAAATCCCTTGAACACTGACACTTCGACACTTACACTTACACACTGACACTTCCACCACATTCGCACTACATACACTGACACTTCGACATTGACACTTACACATACACACTGACACTCGGCAAGCACGCAGTGTAAGTATACAAGTGATGGGTACGCAAGCATGCTTTGAGCATGCAAGCATGCAATGAGTAGGCAAGTGTGAGTATGGAAAACTAGCACGGGAGATGTCCTAATTAAAAAAACATTTCCCCACTTTATAAATTCTCTCTTAAAGGCGGAGGGCGGGACGAACAGCGTCAACCGAAAGTGCAACCCTCTGCGGAGATCGTGCGTGTCGAGTGCGCGAAATGCAGGCGAGAGTGCGATTTGCCGGCTGCGCGCGCAACCCTCTGCGGAGATCGTGCGTGTCGAGTGCGCGAAATGCAGGCGAGAGTGCGATGTGCCGGGTGCCCGCGCAACCCTCTGCGGAGATCGTGCGTGTCGAGTGCGCGAAATGCAGGCGAGAGTGCCGGCTGCCCGCGCAACCCTCTGCGGAGATCGTGCGTGTCGAGTGCGCGAAATGCAGGCGAGAGTGCGATTTGCCGGCTGCCCGCGCAACCCTCTGCGAAATGCAGGCGAGAGTGCGATTTGCCGGCTGCCCGCGCAACCCTCTGCGGAGATCGTGCGTGTCGAGTGCGCGAAATGCAGGCGAGAGTGCGATTTGCCGGCTGCCCACGCAACCCTCTGCGGAGATCGCGCGTGTCGAGTGCGCGAAATGCAGACGAGAGTGCGATTTGCCGGCTGCCCGCGCAACCCTCTGCGGAGATCGTGCGTGTCGAGTGCGCGAAACGCAGGCGAGAGTGCGATTTGGTACACAACTCTAGTACGCAGAGTAGCTGGGGAGCTGGAAGCTGAGCACTGGCGACGTGGTAGTGCGAGAGTAGTACGCAGAGTAGCTGGGGAGCGGGAAGATGAGAACTGGCGAGTGGGTAGTACAACTTGAGGGCGTGGAGTATCTGGGGAGCTGGGAGATGAG